ATATATATATATATATATATATATTATTGTATTATATAACAGTTAAAAAAAACAATGTGTGCCTGTGGACACGTCGTTATTCAAATCTTGTTGTATCTTTTTGAAATAAATTACAAAATTCTATGAATAGGACGAATCCTATATTATAAGAAAAAATATAAATGTTACCTAAAACTTTATGTATTATTTATTCGATTAAACTATATACAATTTAACACTTATATACACATCAAATTTTGTCAGAAAAAAAGAAGATATAAATTTTACGAAAAAATGATGTATATATTACTTTCCTTTAGATTCTAAACTATTAATTATATCTATTAAGATTTTCACTTGCATATCATTCTGCAATCTATCCCCGAGTTCTTCCAATTCAGCACCTCCTGTCATAAATAATTTTAAATTATGCATCGTCCCATTTTCTAATCTGTGATCTGTAATACGATCTTGATTATAATTATATGTTCTTATCTTTTCATTCCTCAATCTTAGGCCCATTTGCTTTTTACGCATATCGCTAACAATCCCAATTTGTTTATTCAATTCTTGTTGATATAACATAGTTTTAAGCTTTAACAACGCTAATTCTTTATTTTTCAATTGTGATCTTTGCGTTTCGCAAGTTACCATGACACCAGTCGGACAATGAGTTATTCTCACTGAAGAATCAGTCGTATTAACATGCTGACCACCAGCACCTGATGCTCGCATTGTTTCTATTTTCAAATCCTTAGGATTTAAATTAATTTCAATATCTGTAGGTTCTGGTGTAACAGCAACCGACACTGTACTAGTATGCATACGACCAGATTTTTCAGTTTCTGGTATCCTTTGTACTCTGTGTACACCTCCTTCGTATCGAAACTTTTTGTAAGCTAAATTACCTTTTAATAAAATACTGGTATGTCTCAAACCACCTTTGTCGGTTTTATCAAACTCCAATAATTCATATTCTATTCCTAAATAATTAGCATATCTTATATACATTTTGTAAAGATCTTCGACAAAATGCATAGCTTCTGTACCACCAACACCAGCTGATAATTCAAATATGATATTGTTGTAATTTTCCTTATCGAGATCATACCAAATTCTATTCAATAACTTTTCATCAAGATCATTTAATTGTTCCTTATACATTACCTCTTCTTCTTCGGCTAACTTTTTCATTTCTTCATCTTCTTTGCCTGCAGAAAGATAAATTTTGAATAATTATTCATATCAACTCTACACAGTGTGGCAACATTAAAAATAAATAAAATTATAAGTTTATATTAAAAATTGTTACTATTTACCAAGTTCTTGCAAGTTTTTAATATTTTCTATAATGTTGATGCGTTCATTCAATATGTCACTCATAGATCTCACATCAATTATTTGGAATAAATTATTCTCCTTCCATCGGTTACTCTTATAAATGTCGGAAAGATAATCTAAATACTTTCTAATACTATTATTGGAAATAGGTAAATTTAAACGTAATGGCAATGCATTGCTTGACAATAAACGAAACAATCCTTTGAGGTTATTAAACCTATTTAGATCGATCAGACACGAATTACACCTTTGCAAAGTTTCATAAATTATTACACTTTTTCTATAAATGTTAAATCTTTGCGAACAGATCGACAAAATCATGATCGTATTCGTAATTATACAAATAAATACAAAACGAATGTACTAATGCAAATACAAGATATCAAAAACTACCGCTAGTTCTGTGACCTAACTTAACTACAATAAAAAAAATAATACAGAGATCATTACTATGTTGATGCATTGCATAAGAAGAAACGAAACAATCCTTTGAGGTTAAGTAATCTATTTAAATCGTTCAAATACCAATTTACACCTTTGTAAAGTATCATAATTATTACACTTTTTTATAAACACTAAATATTATGAATTACATTGAAAAAATCATTATCATATTCATAATTAAAAAAATATATGCAAAATGAGTATATCGAAACTAACAGGAAATTTCAAAAATTACCGCCAGATTCGTGACCTAGTATAACCATATAAAAAATATTGCAGAGAGCGCTTAAAGCTATAGTATCGTCTGCTTAACAGTGTCGACAAGATAAATTCGTTGGTGTATAATTAAAAAATTTGGTACAATCAATATATTATTTATAACATATATACATATACATATTTATTTGCTTACTTGTACGTCTTATGAACGATATAGAGCTTTTTAAAATTCATAAAAAAAATGCATTTCACGCAAATTCCTGATTTCAATTTGATCGTTTTATGTTTCTTATAATCTGAACTTACAATTAGTAGAATATTACGAGTTAAAAATCGTGTATTGAAAACATCGAATCTTTGTTAGTAGGAGCATCAATTTTTTCAGGTTTGATAGATCAATCATTTGTTTCTTTTTTATTAAAGTTTTTGAAATTAATAATGATCATTAGTAGTATAAAAAAATAATTAAAGAATTAGCATTTGTTTTGAAGAAAAGAAAAAAAAGAAAAAACAAAACAATTCGCTAGATGGTGCATGCAAAGCTAAGGCAAATAAATGAGAACGAAATGCATGACGGTTTGCTTTTACGTTAGATTTTCACTCACTAAACTAATATAAATAATTAATGTTATTTGAATTGGCACGAAGGGACACGTACGCCAATAAGATTTGTATACAAATTATTTATCTGGAATTATCTTTTACCTTAGAAATTATTCTTTCCGTACAAATCATTCTAAAGATAATTCTATTTGATTTCCTCCACAATTTTAAGAATTCTTGATAAAATTTATCGAATAGAAAAATAAATAAGAAGAAAAATGATAAATAAAAGA